GTGCAGCAGCTGCAGCAGCCTCCTCTGCAGTCATGCTCTTCATCTGCTCTAACTCCACATCAACTTGTGCTTTAGTCCGTATTCTAATTTCATTCTTTTCTATCATAGTGGAATCCTCCTTTCCATCCATAAGAAAAGGGAGATGGCCTCCCTTGGTACCAGATGATAATCTACTCGGAGCAATCCTGTATTGATGCCTTACCTATCAATGTGGATGGAGGCATCAAGATCCAAGATTAAGAAACAGACTAGTACATCCATAATTGGGCTTTCTACTCAGTGTTTGCCAATTCCTCTACAAGAAAGAAGATAAAAGAACTGAAAGGAAGTAATGTTAAGTTCACACATATTAAATGTTTGCAATTGCAAATCATGCGACGAATTTTACTCCGCAACCAACAATGTGTGCTTCCAAGCATATGACTTTTTAAGCATTGTTGATAAAACTCTAACCAAAGTAGCCAAGACCTCAGTGTCAGTCTTGGAACTCAAGAAGACACATTATGATTCAGGAGAGAATGCATAACTGAATGAGAATAGCACGACAAACCAAAAAGAATAAATTCAGGCATTTCAGTCTCTCGTTGCCTTACCCCTTCCTAGCTTAGGCATGCTGATAGTAAAATGAAGCTTATGTCTGAATAAAAGCATGATCTTCCAAGTCTTGAAATGATAAAACATGGCTTCCTTCACTAAAATTGATCCTTACCAATCTTCTTCATGATGCCATCAACGGACACAACCACCTTTCTGTTACTAGTTCTTTCTTTTTTTTTGGATAACCAAGAAATTTCTGAGGGCCAGTGGCATCAGTTCAAACCTCAATGGATAATGGGCTCGCCTCTCTACCTTTTCCACTTAAATACAAAGCTTTTGTCTGCAGAGCGTTCGATCCCGTGATGTGCGCGTACCCCACCCATCATTTGTTGCGCTTTTAGCACTAGAGAAAAGCCCTAAGGGCCCTTTTAGTTAAAATCTTTTGTAGTGCGATGAAACTTACATCTTTTGGGGGCATGATAATCTCATCCGTCAACTTCCATCCCACAGCAACAGGAAAAAAGAGCCAAATAATGATAAAGAAAAGAACTACAACAAGGACAATTCAACATACAACGCAGATTCTCCTCAGTTACCAGCCATGCACTGATGTTAATGCTATAATAATGGGGAACAGGCATTACATGTCTTCTACATGCAGTAAATGCATCTCCATTGAACATAAAGAAGGGTAAGAGAGAATCTTCATCATTTCCACCAGTTTCTCAGGTTGATTACCTTTATCAGTCTTCCTTTATCAGTTAACACCTTCAAATTTGCTGCCAACAGTCTTTCAAAGTTTGGAGGTGCCGTATACCACTCCTTCAAACAAACAAAAATTGTTGAGTAATAGGCATCTAAACTAATGAAAAGAATATACCAGCATTTACAAGGTCCATACACCTGTATCATCAAGTTAAAAAGAGAGTAAAAAAATAAGGATAGAGGGAACCTTTTTGTCGGGAATTATAGTACAAGGAAATCTTGCCCAAGTGAGCAACTTCACTCTTCATAAGCAAATCCCATCTTAACCTCTCAGAAAGAAGCATAAGCATGCTCACTTACATCAGTCTATGTCGAAAACAAAAGGTATCCAGTGTATGATGGGCAACCTGATTAAAATTGAAAAAGTGGGAAAGGAAAATTACCACTACCCACCCCAGCAACCCTTTGGCCATCCCACTACTGACCATGTTGGGCTGGGTTGCATAACCTTTCCTGCACTTCTTTCCAGTTTCCACCTTTTTTTGCTTTTGCTTGGGTACTTCTTAGTTCTTATCCCTCTCCCCAGTAGTTCTCGGAGTGCTCAAGTTTGCGAGATGAAGCATCAAAAGGCATTGCCAACTAGTGAAAAGCTAAGTTAAGAACATCTTTTTGACACATAACATCTTTTTAGCTCCTTGAAAATAACATAGAACAAACATCGTCGAACAACGGGGTTGAACCAGCGCATGGTGGATCCACAATCTACTGCCTTGATCCATGGTTGCGTCCGCCCCTACCCTACATAGGTTGAAGTCTCTTTCTTTGATCAAATCCTTTTTGACTCCCCTATGAACTCCCCTATCACCACTTATCAAAGACTAACGTTGTGTTAGGAAGGGTCTTTCTTCTCACNAGTCTATTGTTGTGTTAGGAAGGGTGTTTCTTCTCATGTTTTTGTGTTCGAGGGGGATTTTGGTTTGAAGAGAAAGAAAATTGTCTTAGAAATGCTTAGCTAGGCAGAAAGCGTACACAGATAGCTAAGAGCCACTTGGCTACATCCGCCCTTAACCTCGCACGGGTTGAAGTCTCTATCTATGATCAGACCCTTTCTGAACTCCCCTATCACCATTTATCAAAGACTAACATTGTGTTAGGATTTAGGAAGGGTCTTTCTTCTCACGCTTGTGTTCGAGGAGGATTTTCGTTAATGCTTAACTGGGCAGAAGCTTTTTCCTATACTATACTGACAAGTCTATTGTTGTGTTAGGAAGGGTGTTTCTTCTCATGTTTTTGTGTTCGAGGGGGATTTTGGTTTGAAGAGAAAGAAAATTGTCTTAGAAATGCTTAGCTAGGCAGAAAGCGTACACAGATAGCTAAGAGCCACTTGGCTACATCCGCCCTTAACCTCGCACGGGTTGAAGTCTCTATCTATGATCAGACCCTTTCTGAACTCCCCTATCACCATTTATCAAAGACTAACGTTGTGTTAGGATTTAGGAAGGGTCTTTTTTCTCACGCTTGTGTTCGAGGAGGATTTTCGTTAATGCTTAACTGGGCAGAACTTAAAAGTGAAAAAAAATGGCAAATTAGATTAAGTTAAAAGGCGATGGTTCTTGGGTCTAACTCAACTCCAAAACTAATGAGGTAAGAATTGTTTAAAATCATATAAGGGGATAACAACTATTTCCTCACAACAATTTAAGATACTCTAACAACTCCCTCCCCCTTCCCCGCTTCTCGAGTACATCTACGACAGGATATTTGGAGTGTGGACAACATAACATGGATGACTCAAGGCCTAACTCAACCACAAAAACTAACTCATGAGTCATGACGTGAGAATTGTCCAAAACCATATAAGGAGACAATAACCTACTCTTCCATCAATGTGGGACATTTTAACAAAACAATAACTAAACAAAATATACTAAATCTCCAAAATTTTCCAACTCTCTTTACTCATATAGACTTGTATCAAATATGCTAAAAAAGGGAGGAAAATTACCTCTATGTAAGACAAAATTGCATTTCGACGAGATCCATGGGGTTCCTTCAATTTGGCTATTGCCTCCAATATAAGATCGTCCAATCTATGATCAATGAAGAAGCACACACAAGTTTGGTACATTATAATATAAAAAGGCAACTCCCAAAGTGAGTATTTCTAAGAAGGGAAAAAGAAAGAGGCAATTATTAGAACTAGATTGCGTGAATTCCGAACTTGTTATTTCAGTTTTAACATTTTGATCAAAAGATATAAAATCAATCTATTATTAAAAAACTATGCTTCATAGTAGGTGACAGCATCTAATCAAGGACTTAATTTGCTTTTAAAAGAATAAAGAGAATACGATAAAAGAAAAACAAATTAGTGGAAGAGAATAATCAGTTTTACCCACATTTGCACTGTAACACAAAAACGAGAAAAATGATCCATGTATCTATGTTACAATAAAACATTATTTTACATGAAGAATTACTGCAACAATTTCATATGAAACTCCCAAAAAACAAATCAACCAATCAATCAACTACGGTCCGTACTATATGAATCCTCTGCCCATTGCACTCTATTCAAGTCATATTCAGAAATTTCACTGTAGCTATCTTCTTTTTGTATTGGTTGTTAACCTACCGCAACCATCCCTTATCCAAGCTTGAAAGCAGTTATGCTATGCTTACATAAACATGAGTTCGTAACCAAACTGACAAACCAAAAATAGAGCATCATAGCATAAACTGAAACTTTAGGCTTTCTCAAGAAAAATATAAACTAAACTTCAGGCTCTAAGCTACAGTAACAGCATATACTTCCGCTTGAAGCACGATCCTTTTTTCTCAGTTTTGCAGGATTTCCCCCCTAGAAAGAGGAACCCACATTTGATTTCAGAGGAAACAAGGAAAGTGATGAATAGAAGGCAGCTGCTACGCATTTTGCCCAAGATACCACTATAAATATGAACAGAGAGCTCCCATCATCGATAATCAGAAAATACCAAGTTGGTTACAAAACCTTTCCATAACAGAGCCAGCTGACTTCCAGAACTATATGGTTTCCATATTAAATTCCTTATTTAAAGGTACTTAGGACACTATTATAATAGATACTCACTTACAGATGTGCTTTTGATGAACAATATTATTAATTATTAAATGCATGAAAGTCCAAAATGCGCTTTGATTGTTTATTTCTAAAAGGTTTGAGTGCTTCAACATCTCAAATTTTTTGGTTAGATATCTTATGGAGTACACTAATTTCTTAGAAAGTGATTTCAGAATTGAAGAAGTCAACAAATGAGTTCTCTCCACCAAGCTCTCCAAAAGCACAAGCTTTATGAGATCTGTGTAATCCAAGATTTGAATAAGGAAGATTTAAGTGAATCGGTAGTATAATTACCTACAAATCGGTTTTTCACAACCAACATCCTCCAGTGCATCACCAGACGATGCAAGAGGTTTAGGATCAAGAACTTCTATATCATTCTCAACCGCGGTGCTAACAAGCAAGGAGTTGTCATCACGCCTCTGCTTGGGCTGGACACTTTTAGAGACAACCCTTCCTTGATGCCGAGACCCCAAACCATTTGCCATGACATGTAGATTTCTCCATTTATCCTGCCCAAGCAAAACTAAGCCCATCAAGGCAACTTTTACTAACCAAAACAAGCGAAAAAAAGAAAGAAAGGGAAAAAAAGCACAACCAGACAGAAGAGACATTCAATGTTACTATATGAATATATGACACTCCAGCCGGGTAAATAAGCTTCCCACAGAATGACAAGACAAGATTTGACAATGTTGTTATGCCTGGTACCTTCAGATCCACATTTGAGCGAGAGCGCAACACAGCAGCAAACTCTGGATCTTTGAGTATGGTGCTCCATTTTCCAACCCCATACTTCGCTACACCAGCTTTAAGGGCAGCTTCTTCTTCTGATGTCCACTTCTGCTTTGGTGCACCCATCAATAGGTCCACCACTTCCTGACTCTGAATACAAAAGTTGAGCTCTCCTATCTAGAGAAGCATCTACTCTATTCAGAAAATGAAAAGCTGAGTTGTGAAAAAAAAAAAGTACTCCAATAAGGATGCATAAATTATTCAAAATACCTTTTAAGGCCAAAACCTTTGCAAGGAATCTAAAAATAGGACGTATTTGCTCTTCTACCTTACTTTTAAGAAAATACTGGGTACATATATAAAAAGATAACCAGTATAATACTTGAATATGCACAGAAGTTATAATTAGAAAAATATTAAAATGTTCATTCTCGCGATTAGGGCTAGAACGACAACATCAAAAAAGGAATCAAAGTTTCCAGAGACATAAAATTCTGAAACGTGTCGTACCGGGAGAAAGGACGAGCGCGGAGTTTGTGACGGTGACCGAAATAACTCGCCGGCGAACGGAAGTTACGCCATTGAAATCAGGGTGAACTGTTGAAGTAGAAACCCTAGAGATTGGAAATGAATTTGAAACCCTAACAAAAATTATTTCGAGAGTAAACTCTGATTAACCCCTTTAGAAAATAATACCATCAACACCAAATTACATGTATTTTCAAAACTGGTTTCTATAAACCTGCGTTGCAGGTAATAATGGTACATAAAGATTTAATCAATTATTTATATAAAGAAATTAAAAATTTATTCATCACAGAATTATATATGTACATGAAGAAAAAAATGATATGTAGAGCAATTGACATGTAAAAATACAGCAATTATTTAAATTTCGAAAATCAATAATTGGCATACTACTTGAATTCAAATCGATAGAATATCATTTGAACGCAAAAAATGATCAATTTAGTCAAGTTAGATAATATTACTATGTATTTATAGTTTAGAAGTATACAACGTTATCATATCTTACCTATGACTTCTTTATAGACAAGTTTTTTATAGTTTTTCTCTTATGACTGATTGGCTGTTTCATCGTGACCAAAACTCTTATTGTCGATATTAATATCTCTCTTGAAAGTATAATATATTGTTGTTCGTGCGAGAAAGCATGTTGCAACAAATACAATCCAGCATTTGGGATTGTTTGACCTTGTGTATTGTTATTGCAAAACACAAGCGTACTGAAAATTATTTCTAGATAAATTTTAAGAAGATAGGCAAAAGTTGAATTATGGGGATAAACACATGCTTGGAAGCACATCAACCCTTCATGATTTTTGCATGTATGATATTATTATCAAAACCTCTATACACTATCATTGTACGATTACATAAGACACTTGACAGATTTAAGTTTTTCAGTAGTATTTTTATTCAAAACCAGCATATATGCAATGGAAGATCAAATATGACTTTGTTTGTGCTATGCATACATGATACTAACATACATAATTTTTTTGCTCATTTCGTCTTTTTGATCTCATTTAACATATAAAATAATGAATTTCACAATGAATATGCGTGGTGAAAGGCCATTTGGTACTGTATTCTTCTTGATAGTGATTGTTGGTATTATCTTCCGTCGAGTCGAAACTGAGAAATGTTTGGCTTTTATTAGGGAACTTGGTAATCAACATCTCATTTTAGTCGATCAACATATTTTTTTCTGCTAGCTAAGATAGATCTTTCCTTGATGTACTTTGCTCAACTTTCTATTTTATTTAGTGATGAAAATATTTTCCTAATTAAGGAATCGTCATCGCAACTATAGCCATTGGACTTGACAATAATGTATTCTTAAGGAAGGACCAAATCATTTTTTATAATATATATGTTTTTTTCGCTTCCGACATAAATCAAGAAATCACAGAATACTTGATTTAGATTTACTCTCATATTTCTTATTAGCTGAATCTTTATCACTTGAGGTCATAAGTACGATTTAATCTAGCCAGCACTTATAGTCTCCGCTCTTGTGGACTTTTAAACTATTGGTAGTACTTGACGGAAATCATCTCCAGAAACTATTGCTTTTTCACCAAATGATTTATCAACATCCACTATATCTCTAAAGCTCCTGTCAATTGTTTTGATCGTCTAACGTTATGTCATGTGCGCTTCATCCTATATTATCAACTTTTATTTTCTTATTCAATACCACCATTTGTTATGACCATTTCAATTGTTTGAAGAGGTATGTCGAATCTAGAGTGAGTCGTATGACCCTCTACACCATTTTAGTGATATTGCTAATATTATCATGCCTCATTATCTAATATTTGCAAATAATGCACGATATAGGAATATCTTTTCAGTTCCTCCAGAGCCATCTACAAAAAATAACTTCGTTCTATGAATAATCGATTGTTTGTAATATAGTCTTGAAAGCTTATTCGTATTCAGGATTTAACTTTACTTGTACATTGAAACCTTCCTCCGGCACTTATATGGCCTTTTTTCAATATTTCTTGTGTATTATGATGTGTAATTATGTTCATATATAACCAATAGCTATTTTGACGTGCACAAGTTATTTAAGTTATTGTCTTGAGTAAATTCTTTTTTTTACTTTAGAAAGTATCTCAGGAACTCCAATTATAATTTGTACTTTCGTATGTATATGTTTTTTTTTTCATTTAGATTTTAGATATAATATTTTCTTCGTATGGTAGTGATAGCAATAGAGTATAAAGAATATTATATTTGAAAATAGAATAAATTTGAACGGATCAAAAGCCAACAAACATTACACGTGTGATTGATATCAAAATCGAAAAGTAAAAGCAAAATTAACTTAGCTGATAATATGACAGGTACATTCTACTATCTAATAAGAGACAGTTAGCAGGCAGCTGGACGACATGCCTGCTTGCTGAACAGGGGTAAAATTGGAATTTTCTCTTTAACATGTTGTGCTTAATAGATACTTTCGTGCTCTAATTATGGTACCTTCCAATGAATACTTTGATGCGGCGCATCACCTTACATTGTGAAGACGTTTTTTGCAAATTGTGGGTCCCATTGATCTATTTTGACACACTAGCACATCAATATTATTCCTTTGTGTTAGAATATGTGACTGCTGTTATAAAATAAAGACTATAAAGTAAAGACAAGTATAGAGAGAAACTGATATATTATTCGAATTCGAACTGATGTACATAATGAACTGAAATCTCTTCTATTTATAGAAGAAAGGAAGCTGCTCCGTAAGCTGCTATTACAAGCTGCTGTGTAAGCTGCTACTACAAGCTGCAGTGTAAGCTACTATAAGCTGATGTGTAAGCTACTACTACAAGCTGCTGTGTAAGCTGCTGCTGTACCAAATATGGATAATCTTATACTGAGAGCAATATTTATCCATAACGGAGTACTGAATGGATAAGCTTATTATATCCGGTATGGATAATCTTCTACCGGGGGTAATGTTTATCCATAACCGGGTACTGAAAAGATAAGCTTATTATACCCGGTATGGATAAACTTCTACTGGGGGTAATATTTATCCATAACCGGGTACCGAAGTGATAAGCTTCTTCAGGAAGCTTATTTCCAATATAGTACTAAATAGATAAATATATTTACGGTGGAGTCTCATATGGATAAGCTTCTTCAGGAAGCTTATTTACAACAGAGTACTAAATGAACATCCATAATATAATATACTTATAACAACTGCCTCATTTTGTAAGATGGTTTATATTTGTTAATAGACATAGATATCACAGAAAAAATTGAAATAAAAAAACATTACCTCATGACATATTTCTTTTGTGAGCAATTTTTTTTGCCAAAACATTTCTGTACGTATATTGAAACTGCACTTCTTTTACCAACTATTTTCACGTATATTACAATATTGCACTCCTTTTTTCTATTTATGTATTTTTAAGTTTGATTAGGTATAACTTATATATATGCATAATTGGAAGGATAACATAATGCATCAAATTAAATCTCAATATTATAGCTTTACAAGTTAATTTATTTGCAGCCAAATTATGTAACAAAACTTATACAAATTTACATAGTATTTTTTAGGGAAAACTGATAGAGTTATAAAGATTAAAAATGAAAATAAGAACGGCTAAAATGTTTGCGTTAGTGTTCAATTTAAAACCAAATTTACTTTTGATGGGTTATTCCCATTAGTTAAAAATACAACACAAACTCCTAAATATGCTCTAAAGAATAACCTTTAGTTAGATTATCTAATATGGTAAATGATTGCAAGTAAAGATAAAGAAATTATGAAGATATAAAATTTTATCCTACAAAACTACATGACCAACCCGACAAATGAGGTGAGAACTTGCATGGTTGGTTACTTGATTAATATTATTGAAGTGTAAATGCTTGGATATTATGCGAAATTTGTAGTGCTTTTAGACCAATTTTTTTGCAAACTTGGAGTATATTTCAAGGATAATAGCAAATGTATCGTAGCGTTACAATCTTATAATTATAAACTTTTAATTGGAGCATAAACTGTTGGTAGATACTCTTGATAACTTTGTATTTTTTTTTATAAGGTTATCCAACTATCTATGCAGATTGATCTTGTTAATCTTTTACGCTCTAAAGTCTGAACTTACATCGTATAAAATGTGAATAGTATAAGCCTAAATTCCCTTATTCTTATAATTCTTTCGGTATTCTTTGTACTTTCGATGGTTCATTTTTTTATCTTGACCTGTTAAATATTTGACTTTGACTCAACAATTATGTATTAGGGTAAGTATATATATTGGAGAGTTGATAACTCGGGAAGAAGTGTACAGTTCAGAACGACTTGAAAATTTTTCATGTAGTAAAATATTTTTCTTTTAAATTCAAAATATTAATTTACGACATTTAGAAAATACTTGACATAATTTTTGTCATAAATTTTGACGGAGCATCTTTTCAGTATTATGGTTGAAAAAATTGGTGATTGTCAGAATTTTTGGTGCTTCAAATATTTCGTTAAACATGATTAAAATATAAACGATGATTTAGAAAATATCCATCAAACGTAATTTCTTGCTAATAGTAAGAGATGAAAACACACACTTGCATATTGGGCCCGTGCTAGCCAGCCTCTAGTTCTAATATATAGAAGAGCCTTGGAAGCAGCTGACCGTTGTCTTGCCAGCTTGCCGACCAAGGCTCTTTTTGGTCATTTCATATTTAGCTTTTATAATTGTTTGATCATTTAAAGTGGCTCTAAGTTTTGATTGGTTCAAATAACTTGATTATTGTGCTAACTTTGTTAATTTTAGTTGTTAGACATTTTAGCCCTTTGAGGGAGCCGAATATCTTTTCGAGTGGGTCCATCTCTCATTACAAATTGCGACTGGAAAATCCATTACTATGCATGGAAACTTTTTATATGTAGCTCGCCCAATTTTATGAATGCATGTGGGGAGATAAATTTTTGGTTTAAATATATACTTCTAAACTCTAAAGCTCAGAGCTGCCACTATCAAAACTGTTTAGAAATTTTCAAGAACTANTCAAGAACTCACTTTATATATCATAAGCTATAATAGATATTATGGTAATTTAATTTTATAAATTTCTTCTAAATTAATTTTGTAGATCACATACTAAAATTATTTATGTGGTATTGAAATAAGTTGACATCTATAACTTTTTGGGCATTATAATTTCAAGTAAAAAATCAATTACCGCATAAATATTTTTAGTATGTGATCTACAAAATTAATTTAG